CCATCCATCCATCCATCCATCCATCCATCCATCCAGGCCTGTCAGCCAATCAGATGGCAGCTTGTTTCTTACCGCAGCAAAGCTGCTGTTCTGGAGGAATGAGGTTAGATTGAGTTCTGGGCTCATTAGCTGCAGAGCTGTGGTCAGTCTGAAGATGGAGACGCAGAGGAAACCTGCAGGTTTTATGATGGCGTCCTGCAGCTGCTCTGGAGTCTGACTCCTCCCTGCAGCTGCAGCCTGAACCTTCTGGCTGGTTTTTCATTCATGCTGCATATTTGATTTTATTTCCTCTGCAGAGGCAAACATAAGGATGTTTACAGACTGCAGAGACATCAGACCTCTGAATATCTTCTGTTGTTATAACCATCAGTGTGAGACATTAGACTTTTCTCTGGTGAAGCTCAGGTGTTTGTTTCTCTGTTTTAAGCTGCAGGGGATAAAATAAAACTCCCAGAAGATGCTGTCCTAACCTCCCTGTAACAGAACAGAATCTGTTCATTAATGATCCAAACTCACTGCTTTCAGATGTAATAACATCCTCCTCCCATCTTTAATGATCCAAACCAGGAGGAAAACTCTTCCCTTTGGATTCATTTCAATGGTTTAAGTTCAACTTAATGTCTCAGCAGCTTCTGGGCTGCAGGTGGATTCCAGGAGAGGAGGACTTGTTTTATTGATTAGACGAGAGCATCAGATACACCTGAACCGATTGAAAACAGGTTCCTGGCAGACGGATTAGAAGGATCTACAGAGCAGAACATCAGGAAACAATCAGAGGAACATCTGGGAGCAGCTTCAGTGATCTGTGGTCCTCAGACGGATCATCCACCAGCTCACAGAGCAGGGAAGAGTTTGGAGAACCTGATCTTTAGATTCCCAACCTTCTCCCCTCAGAGGAGGCAGCTTCTCTGGTTTCAGAGGCTTCTGGGATGGACCAGATGGATCAGGACCAGCCTGATGTCAGGAACCAGTCGAGCAGAGAATTTAGAGCAACATCTGCTGCCTTCAGGACCACATCTTCTCTAGTGATGTCATCAGTAGATGGCTGAGGAAGCAGAGCTGCTGGACTGAGCGGTCCTTATGGATGGAGACAGAAGAAGCAGAGATCTGCACCAACTGGTTGGGAGGAGGAAGATCTCCCAGTTTCTTTGTTCCTTGAATCAACAGGAATGATGGATTTATGGAGGGAAGCGAAGTGTTTGGGAAGCTGAACATCTCCCGGAGAGAGAAGATCACGCAGCAGCTCTAATTGGAGACGATGGATCTGGCTTTAATTGTCAGCAGCAGAGTTTGAGGCAGCAGGCGGCTGCAGCGTGTTTACAGTCAGCAGGATCATTAAGCCGCCGTCTGGGATCATCTCAGGATGATTAAACACTGAGCATTTCCCCGTCAGAAGGTACTTCCTGGTTTCAGTCGGCGGCTGCATGGAGTTAAATGAAAAGAGCTTTAGGCTCTGATGGTTCATTTTCTGCTCAAACTCAGGCTGACGTTTTATCTGAGGGAGAAACATCTGCACACATGTGGCTTTGACCTTCATCACCACCAGAAGGTCTTCCTCTGGTTCTTTCAAGGTGTTAAAAAAAGAAACAAACCAGAATCTGTTCATCTGAGACTCAGAGCTGGAGATCAGGAGCAGCCGCTGCCTCCTGAGGCCTTCAGTGGATCTAAGGCCTGCTTCCTGTCTCTCATTGCTCTCTGTGTTTCTGCAGCCGCCAAGAAAGCCCAGTGGCTGGAGAAGGAGGAGAAGGCGAGGAGGCTGAGGGAGAGCCAGCTGGAGGAGCGCAGGAGGAAACTGGAGGAGCAGAGGCTGAAGGCGGAGAAACGCCGAGCTCTGCTGGAGGAGAAGCAGAGACAGAAACTGGAGAAGAACAAGGTGAGGATCTACAGGCGGCGATTCAGGATGTGAAACTATTTTATTCTGCAGTAAGGCTTCGTTTTATTGGCTGATGGGGAAAATGGAATCAGTCAGACAGAAAAATGGGATTTTAGCTTCAGACCTCGTGGATAAAGCTCAGGAGAAAAATCAAAGACTGGAAGCTAAAAGGACCCAAACTGAGCCAATAATAATCTAATTGATTTTTATAGATTTTTCATATTCAATCAACAGACATCCCATTCAAAAAATACAGAACAAAATGGTTGGCTCAACATTTGAATGACAGAAAAAGGTCAAAACCACAAACTAGCAACAAGACGGATCCTACCAGACACGCCGCCCCGTTCCAGACTCTCTTAGGCTGAAACTAAATACCTACATTTGAATGACAGTAATAACCACACTGGTGATAATTATGGGAAAAACAAATAAAAAAAAAGGAGGGGGGGAATAAAGAGGCTAGTTATCCTGAATCAGATGGAAATTCAGATTCAAAGTAGGACATAAAGGCGGCCAGACTTTGAAATATTTTTTAGTATTGCCTATAAAGTAAATCTAAAATAAATTAAAGATGTCCCATCAGCCCCTCTACCCGCCTTTGTGGCGCTGCCTTTATCCAATTAAATAACATCAGTCTCCCAGCCAACAATGACAATGATCACAGAACGGCTGCCTGGTCCAGTTTAACCAGACTGGAAACATCTAGACGTTTACAGGCTGGTTTCTCTTTAAAGTAAACTATTAAAAGGTTAAAGGGGAACGCCGTTTTTTTACATTGGACCCTTGATTTTACATTATTACATCATGTTCTACTCACCTATATGAGTTTTGTGTCAAGGGACCAATGTTAAAAAAGGCGTTTCCCTTTAAAGAGACTTCATTAGAGTTGGTTAAAAAAAACAGGACAGAATATCTTACTAATAATTATATTTTCACTTTTCCTATTTGATTATTTTTATTGTTATTAGATGTTTTATAGTCTACATTAATCCACAGGAGCGATATGAGGCGGCCATCAGGAGGTCCACCAAGAAGACGTGGGCTGAGATCCGCCAGCAGAGGTGGTCGTGGGCCGGCGGCCTCAACCAGACCTCCCGCAGAGAAAGTGAGTTTCTGATGAGGAGCTGGGAGGGGCAGAGTGTTCGGCTACATGTCATTTGACTCTTTCTGTTGCACAGACTGCAGCTCACTGCTGCAGCTGATGCAACGCCAGGAAAAGGCCTGCCTGCCTGGGGGGGCGGGGTTACCGAGGGCGATGACCCACACAGTTGTCCCTCCTGCTAACGCTAACATTCCCTGACTGTCTCTAGTCCTGTTGCTGGAGAGTAACAGACCTTCTGAGTCTGCGACATGCTGGAGGAATCCTCAATCTATCTGACTCTGTCTTTATTTTCATTGTCTTTATTTTGGAACACGCACCGTCCCTTTAAATCCACCATGTTTTCTATCTGAACCCTGAACTTTCCTCAAACCTCCATCCCTGCCTCCTGCAGTCTGCGTCCAGATGGGCTGAAGTTTAGTGGGGGGGTAGTGAGCACCTGAAGGCAGCTGTGTGATCCAGACTGGTGGGGGGGGGCATTCCTGTCTCCTGATGGCAGTGGGCGCCGCCACGCCCCGGGTCCCATATGAACAGTTGTTGTCTGTTGCGTTCTCTCCGGTGCAGGCAGATGCTCGGCCTCCACGGTCAACTTGCCCAGACAGGTGGACCCTGTCATTAACAGCAGGCTGTCCAAGTCCTCTGCCACGCTCTGGAACTCCCCCAGCAGAAGTAAGGACAGGCCGGCGTCAGTGTCCACCAGGCCTCCTCTTCCTCCCTCACCCCTCCTCTTCATCCCCCCTCCCTAATCTGGTTTTCTTTGGTTCTTCTTCTAACTGTTGTCTGTGGTGGCCTGCCTGCCTGCCTGTGCTTGGTGACCGGTCATTACCGCCTGCTTCCTCGTCCCGTCACGCTCTGGGTCTCGTTTGCATCCTGGGTTTTTATTTTAGTTGGTGGTTTGTCTTTGATTTGAGTCCTTTGCATTTTTGATCAGCCTCACATTTGCTTCATGGTTTATGGGCCTCCATCCGTCTCACCACCCGCTTCTTGGTTGTCTCCTTCACTGTGGTGATGGTGGGGGGGTTATACTGACTGTAGACAGTCAATCAGAGTGTAACTATTACACTCCCATCTGATCTATCCATGGGCGGTTCTAGACAGGGGCCAACGGGGGCCAGTGCCCCTGTAGATCATGTCCTGGCCCCTGTTATGGCCCCTTTACCGAAGACATAATACTAAAAGAAATGCTGATGATGATCTGCGCTGGAACAGACATGATTACTGATTGGTCCTTTGCATCCATCTCATTTGTTTTCTTTACAAATTCTTGTTTAATTATTTAAAAACAATAAGCTGATAGCTTCAGTGATAATGAGATACGATCCCAGTGTTCATCTGCTAAATGTTTTTTTTTTCAAAACAAATAAAAAACGAATTTTTACAGCTGAATTTATCAGTTTTTCTCAAGTTCTAATTGAGATTTTATAGAAAATTATAATTTTAACAGAAATTAAGTTAAAAAATATGTAAAATTCCTAAATAATGAGTGTATATTAACATAATAAGACAGAATTTTAATAAAACCTAATTGAATATAAACTTCCCTTCATGCAGCAGTCTTAATATATTGTTATAGCTTTCCCTGTTTTTAACTTTACGCTTTTCTGTTTCCCCTATGAAAACACACTGCCCCCCCCAGCCCCCGTTTGGTCTAGAACCGCCACTGGATCTATCATTATTTGTTTGTATTACTAGGCTGTTAAGTTTACAACTTAAATATCTGTTATCATTATTATTGTCAGCTGGACAGTCTTTGGTTACAATGACAGGAAATCACATTGAAAAACCAAATGTTAGAAATGTGTGATTTTCTATAGAAATGTGAATAATCCATAAAATGCTGCTTTAAGCTAAAGACCAACCGTCATATTGACGTTAGGGTTAAAAACTTCCTCCAAAAATGAATAACCCCAATAAATCAGAGACATGAATACTGAATTTGATTTTGCGTCTGATCAGAAAGAAAATAATGTCGTATGACGTGGAAAAAAGATTGGATCAGAAATAAAGAGGCGGCTGATGTGACTCAGGCTTTAAGAAACAAAATACCTGTTTAATTTAATTCATTTTGACTTAAATGTTTACAATATTAAGTGACATAAACAACAAAAGTAAATTCATAATGTCGGCTGGGTGGAAGTCAGTGGCTAGCTGTAGCATGCTAGCTGTGAAAGGATAAATAACCAGAATTTAGCTTAAATCAAAGATTTTAGCTTTGAAGAACTTAAAACTTTCATCGATTTATTTTTTTAAAAAGTAACATGATTTTCTTGTGAGTTTTTTTTATGGCTCTTTTTCACATTGGAGGGCTAAAGAGGAAAGGCTACCTTTAGCATGCTAACATGTTATGTCTTTAACACAGTTAGCAAAAAGCATGAATGGGACGTGTATTTATAGTATTTATGTTGTATAAATAAAAATGTGTGTTCATTTTAGATTAAAAGAAGTTAAATTAGAAGGGTTTTTTTTAAGTTCCTTTAACCTCCATTAGCTAGAAGAAACCACAAAGCTAATGCGCCACCATAGGATGCTAACAGGGCTAGCTTTAAAAAGCTAACGCGTTAAGCAGCTCGTCCTACAGCAGTTTTAGATGAATGCATGATTATTTTTTCTGAGGTGGATTTACTACTAAATACAGCAAAGTTAAAGTTAAGATTATTATCTAGTTTTACTAAGAAATTATCAATAGCAGCGTAGCTTTAGCAAGCAGTGGTCACCCCTACATACCTCATATATTTCATTTCATTATTTTCAGAGTGTTACTCAGTTGCTAAATGTAGATACCTTAAACATGAGTAACTTTTAAACTGAAAATGCTAAACTTGGTTTTAGCATTTCTGATAAATAGCCTAGAAAAGCATTCAGAATAGAAACTGAACTGTTTGTGTTACGCTGCATTCTTCAAACTCTAGGAGGCTGGAAATGAATCAATAAAGCCTTTTTCAGTTTGAGCTTATTCACAGTTTGGGCTTCAGTCTGTTTAAAATCAGAATTTAATTCAGCTGCCAGCTTTATCAGAACCCATCTTACAATGCAGGAATTGGAGGGTAATCCCATTTAATTGATGAACACTAAATTAGGGTTAAACAAGGTGAAACTTGTTGCTAATGGTGAGGAAATCCCACGCAGATCATCACCCAAACCAAAATAGGTAGCTTCAGTAACCATCAGCCACTAAGCTACAATGGCAGCAGGGGTGATATGATGCAGATGTTCTGGTCCAGTTTAAGGACAAATACTTGATCTTAGACTTTTTTTTAGGATCCATTTAAAGTTCACAAAGGTTCACTGATTTCTGCTTTGTTTTTAAAAGTTCTTAAACCGCCAATCAAGAACATTTAACTCACGTTTACACAACAGCAGCATGTTTCTATTTTAGAGCTTGTTGCTTTTAAACAGCCAAACGCAACCAGCCATTCAGCTTGGAGCTTCACTGTTGCCATGGTATCGACTCAGATCATCAATAATAAAGCTGCAAGCATTTAAAA